AAACTGACTTTTTACGACACCACATCGAAGCCGGGAAAGAAATGTTGTGGTTGAAACGGTTTCTCCAAGAGTTGGGATTAAAGCAAGAAAAGTTCACGGTACATTGTGATAGCCAGAGTGCCATAGACCTGAGCAAGAATTCGATGTACCATTCTCGCACAAAGCACATTGATGTTCGGTATCATTGGATACGCGAAGTGATGGACAAACAGTTATTGGAACTGATCAAGATCCACACAGATAAGAATCCTTCTGACATGATGACCAAGGGTGTCACCAGAGACAAACTGGAAGTTTGCAAGCATCTGATCGGGATGGACTTCAAGTGAGAAGTCAGTTGTCCATGTGGGCGTGGAGGGGGAGAATTGTTGGCTCCATCCACTACCCACATGGTAAAGAGCCCACCATCCACATAGTGTGGGTGGCACTAGGTGGTAAAAGAAGGTGGTGGAGGGCAACACTAACTCACTAATGGAAGATAGTGGGGGTGGCACCACCTTGGCCAATTATGGCTAGCACTTCACCTACTCCTCCTCTCTTGGTTATAAATTGAGATGAGTGAGGAGGGGTTTGTATCATCAGAAATTGAGAGTGAGAGCTGTGAGTTGAGTGAGTTTCATCTCCTCCTCTGTATTTGTATTTTTGCTCCATTTTAGTGAAAATTCTCTTTTCTGTCCGTGGATGTAGGCATTGGGCCGAACCACGTAAATATTGTGTTCTCTGTGTGTGTGAGATATTTTTCTGGGTGTGTTTGATCCTAACACCTTCAGCCACAACCTTCTTTTCGACCCCCTCCTCTCTAGACCCCACTCCTCCAACCTTCACCACTCTGACCCAACCCCTTTCCCTCCTCATGCCAACTTCCCAAGACCTTGAAACCCTAGATCGAAGCAAAAGACACCATTTTCGTTGCACCTTAAGACCTTAAATCTAGGAAGAATAATAAGAATGAGGTGGGGTGGAAGAGGTTGAAGGAAGAGGCAAAGATATTAGAGCAAGTTGGGGAGGAAGTAGTGGAGGAGAGTGATGCTAGTGACAGAGGCTGGTGGTGGTGGCTGATAATTTTAGGATTAGGGTTTGAGATGGAGAAGATAAGGATATTATGTTGGTTTTTATTTTAACATAAAATTATAATAAAAATGTTGAGTAGGTATAAAAACTAAAAAAGAGAGTGTGGAAATAAAAGCTTCTCAATTTCAAACGGTTCATTCCCTTTTAAATAGATCATTTTGCTCTTCATTAATATCCAATTTCTTAAAAGATGTAATTAATTAGACTAAACTAACATAATTTAAAAAATTAAGGTCAAAATTAATATAATTAAAATTACATAAACCAAATTGATGTAATAAACAAATTACAAGGACCGTGGATATAATGTATTCATAAACTTCAGACAACTCACTATTTAGGAACACACTGAATAGTTGTTTTGGAATTTTCACACAAAAACACTATACGAAAAAAGATGGGTGCTTCCATTGTTTTCTTTCCGAAAACTCAAAAAATAAAATAAAATAAAATAAAAACAAAACCAAACAATAACTCCAATTTAATAGTTTTTAAAAGTAGCAATTACACCAAGAAATTTAGCAAAATTACTCCCACGGTGATATGCGATTTTGTCTATATAGTATTTATGAACAATGAGAAATCATAACCTTCATTAAGTAGGTCATTATTTGTCTTCAAACTACATAAGTCACATGTCTCACTATAATATTTTTTACTATATGATTAGTTTGGAACACTACGTAAACAATGCCTGATAGTGCTCCGAAATTAGAGAATAATTACCTTAATTATACATAAGATTGAGCTTCTTGCTGTCTTGCCCAGTTGAGAGAGAAGGCAAATTCTTCAATGAGCATAGTGGTTACATGTATACTGTTTTTCATTTAAGGCATTTACCATAAACAATGAAGTTCATGAGCTTAGACACTGTGAATTGAGCAAAAGTGTCATGATATAAGACTCCCAACCCAAGTGTCAATACAAATTGAAAGTAGTTATTTTCATAGCAAGAACTGAAGTTATAAACAGCTATGCTAGTTGCAAAGTAATAGAACACAGAAAATTCTCTATGTATATGAGTCCCACCTCTTATCCTTGTTCAGTAAAACTATTTCTGTACAAATAGAATTTTGAATTACAAATTGGAAATATCAATCAAACCAAGAAATCAATTTCTCCAAGGCCCTCATCATCATAATGTATCGACAACTTTTGTTTTCTTATATATATGTGAATGCCACATGCTTGTTAAAATGTCTACTACTCTTGAGAAGACTGTGTACTAGCTGTGTTCCCTCTGTTTTCTGCACTGAATGGTGTGATCAGGCAAGAGGAAGGATAATGATGAAGTTTGCAGACTTAATTGATGAAAATGCGGAGGAACTAGCCGCCTTGGACACCATTGATGCTGGGAAGTTGTTTAGTTTGGGGAAGTCCCCAGATATCGCTCTATCATCAGGAATTCTCCGTTACTATGCAGGCGCAGCAGATAAAATTCATGGAGAGACATTGAAAATGTCGGGGGAGCTTCAAGCGTACACGTTGCGTGAACCTATTGGTGTTGTAGGGCACATCATTCCTTGGAACTTCCCAAGTTCCATTTTTTTCATGAATGTTAGCCCGGCATTAGCTTCTGGGTGCACCATGGTTGTCAAGCCTGCTGAACAGACACCGCTTTCAGCTCTCTATTATGCTCATCTGGCTAAGCAGGTAAGCATATGACTAAAAATTCATTTGACAATGTTTTCAGTTTCATGTTCAGTTTTTAGAAAGTGAAAACATGTTTGGGTTAGACAACTTGTTGCCATAAATTTGTTTTAAAAAAGGAAAAAGAAAATTGTTTAGATCAAATATAGATATAAAATTGTACCAACAGTATTCATTGGGGTCATTGATTTATTTTCAGAAACAAATGAAAACAATAAAATCCTATGGCCAGAAATTTTCATCTTTTTATACAGATAAACAATAGACCAAACAAGCTTTTGTTTCTTGTTTACACACAAAAACTGAAAACAACAGCATTATAAAACTGACACCTGCAAATTTCATGTCACTTCATTTGCCTCTCTATAAAGCCCACCTGATGGTTTGTTATTTTCTCAACCAGGCTGGCATCCCCAATGGAGTCCTGAATGTTATAACCGGATTTGGACCAACAGCCGGTGCTGCAATTGCCTCTCATATGGACATTGATAAAGTAATTACATGTTTCCTTGTACAATTTTTGTTACTTGAATGAAAAATCTATGCATCTATATATATAAATTATTGGAAGACCTAATCATCCTTATACAAACCCTCAATCTAAATTGTAATTTTGTGGTGTTTATAGGTTAGTTTTACAGGGTCCACAGAAGTAGGGCGCCTTGTGATGCAGGCTGCAGCAACAAGCAATTTAAAACACATCTCACTCGAACTAGGCGGCAAGTCCCCTCTCATAATCTTTGATGATGCAGATGTTGATAAAGCCGCAGATCTTGCTCTTGTGGGCGTTCTATATAACAAGGCAGAGTGCCTTATTTTTTCTCACATTTTCCTCAACATTTAAAAATGTTACTTTTTCCCTCACAAACACATCACATTTCTTCTCATACTTGTTTGTTTGCAGGGTGAAACTTGTGTGGCCGGTTCTCGTGTTTTTGTTCAAGAAGGGATATATGATGCACTTGAGAAGAAGTTGTTAGAGAAAATAAAAAAATGGGTTGTTGGGGATCCTTTTGATCCCAGTGTTCTCCAAGGACCTCAGGCAAAAGCTCCAAATATGAACTTTTTGTTTTTTTGATCGGCTCCAAAGATGAACATTTGATTGATCAATTAAAGCACAATTATCATATTTTCAACTAATTAATCAAGTGATTTTGCATTCTGACATAACAAGCATAAAAAAAAATTCCTGGAAATTTTTTAAAAATGGTACAGATCTATGTCATAAGATGCACATTTCATGTGGTGCAGGTAGATAAGACACAGTATGACAGAATACTTTCATACATTGAGCATGGCAAGAGAGAGGGGGCCACCCTGTTAACTGGTGGCAAGCCCTGGGGTGAGAAGGGATACTATATTGAGCCTACAATTTTCACAGATGTTAAGGTAACTCTTGCTTTCACCATTTCAAAACCACCCATTTGGGTGTCATAAACAAAGTGCATTAATTTGACCCTCCTTTTGTTTCGGCAAAAAATGCTCCGTAAAATGTTGCATTTTTTGACATTTGATATGATGAGAAATGAAAGTCAACAGAAAATGTTTTTTAGTTGACCACAGAAAACAAGCTTAATTATGCGGAAGGTGAAAATCATTTTCCACAGCGCTGAGACCACCTCCACCACCATCACTACCACCACTAACACTGCCACCACCACCACCGCACCACTAACCACTAACATTGCCATTACCACCACCAACACCACCTATACCACAACCACTATTAGGACATTAGTTTTAAGGTCGCAACCAAACGTTGAAAAACATTTCCTACAGAAATTATTTTAGAAAATGTTTTTCATTGAAAATGTTTTCTGCCATAACAAATAGTGTAAATTAGTATCTAATTTATTGTTTCTTACTCTTAATGCCATTGTCTTGCGCAGGACAGCATGCTAATTGCAAGGGATGAGATATTTGGTCCAGTAATGTCATTGATGAAGTTCAACTAAGTTCTAAATTTCAAACCTCTTATATTCTTAATGTCCATGGGAAGTAACCAAATCCAGAAAAAGTTTCAGGGTGTGTTTCAAAGAAGTAAAGTGAAATAGAAAAGTGGTCACTATTATCTGTTCAATTCAACTTCTTAATCGACAGTACGAAACTAGAACAATGAGAATATCATTATCATCTGTTCCATTAGATTTAAATTGAATGAAATGAGTGGAATTAAATCTGTGAAAATTCACTATCTAAATCTTTTCCAACAAAAATATTGCAGGACTATCGACGAGGCAATCACGAGCGCCAATGCCACAAGATATGGTCTAGCAGCAGGCATTTTGACCAACAACTTGAATGTGGCTAACACTGTTTCACGATCAATCCGTGCCGGTATCATTTGGATCAACTGTTATTTTGCTATTGATGGAGATTGCCCCTTTGGAGGGTATAAGATGAGTGGGTTTGGAAGAAATTTGGGAATGGATGCTCTTGACAAGTATCTTCAAGTCAAGTCTGTCGTCACACCCATATATAATTCACCTTGGCTGTGAATAAGTGAAGCTTAGCAGCTTTGCTATACGTCTTTGAACCTTTTATTTTGTTCCTGCACCTTCGTATTGTATTGCATTCTATCTCTATATTGCTATTTTCATTCTAATCCAATTGGACATGAGATAATTATTTATCCTACTAATCCAACTGGATAACTAATCATACACTAATCTCATAGATTGTTAATTCTCTCACTATTAATACTGCTAACCAAACAAATCCATTATGTTTTTAAGTCAAACACAAATAAACACCTTACTGCTCAGCTCCAACTTGATTTGTTTATAGCAGTAGCCTTTAGCCCTGGACTCCATTTTATGAACTTTCGGAGACACACACACACACACACACACACACACACACACACACACACACACACAAAAACTCAGATGAATAATGTGTCATAATTTTACAACCCATACACTTCTACATTTCAACCAAGTTCCATCACGTGTCATTTTATATAGCAATCATGTGCTATAGAATAACTGTTCCATAATTTCAACTCTTCTAACAGAAAAGGAAACTTTCAATAGAGAAATCTTAAGTCTCGTGCTTACTAAACTATATGTCAGCTCAATGAGAAATATCCAGACAACTTCCAAATATTGCACGTGAATGAACATACTTCCAAATATCCATAAATAACATATTTCTGCATATATTACACCATACCCAGAGCACCAAGGATCCTCTAGAGTTTTTTTTTCCTAAAATTTCCTAAAGTGGTGTGTTGTATGAGTGAGATTTAATGCTAAAAAATTGATGTGACTTGTCATTAAATCTCAACCATACAACACACTACTTTAAGAAACTCTAGGAAAAAAAAAACTAGCAATTGAAATGGAGACAAGAGGAGTGAGATGATAATAGAAACTTAAGTATGCTGATAAAATTATGTTAAGAGGGTCAGAAAATTCATTAACATGGGGCCAAGATTAAGAAAAACTCAGATGAAGATGAATTCATAAGCCAAAAAGTTACAAACCATTGACTTCAAATAACAAAATATTACAATAACAACATTGGGTGATTTGGAAAAAATCTACATGCCTAGCACATTCAATAAAACCTGATATTTTCCCCAAGAATTTTCACTGCTATCTACTCCTGCCTCCACCAAGCTGAGAGCAGAAGTCTCTTAAGTATTGCAGCAAGTTCCAATGTCATCTTCCTGCTAAAAATTCTCACCTGCTTATAATATGCATCATAAAAATTTGTTATTAACATCACATTTTGAGGATATTATCAAAGAAAAAATATTACAATAACTTTGATATGAGAACCTCATGAAAAAAATATTAATATAACGCTTATCTCTAAATAAAACTGCTATATAGTACGTACAAATCTAAGTTGATACAGCTAAAAAAGTGGCACAAGAAGCACAACAAAACAATTGGGCAAATGGCTACACAAAAAAAAATTGCAAAAACAATTCGTAACCACAAGCAGTAAGGCCGTCAGACATTACTACTAACAATGTGTGGCACTATAAAAGATCAAGTACTCTTACAAAAATTTACTATTTAAATTTAATTTGAGATATGATCACTCAAACATTGGTGCCATTTTCTCAATTTGGTATGACAATTGAAACCTTATTGAGAACATTAAATGTCATCAAGTGATGCTAAAAGTATTGCTCTCCTTTCTTGGTGGTGGATAAACCTTCCTCTTTCTTTCTTAATTTCTTTTACACATGGAAATGAAATTCGGGAAAAACAATTCTCTGTTACAAACTTATAATTGAGGGGTAATTAGAGCAAATGCTTACAGGTCAAAAGCACGAGGCAAAACATTCCAAAATTTTTAGTTTATGTTCAATGAGCCATAAGACTCAAAAGACAAGCATAACTTTTCAATTTTCTAGATCAAAATAGAAATATATATATATATATTATGTCAAACCATATTACACTGGAGGTAAGTATTAATTAGCACACTGATTAAGACCTACATGAACATAACATTGATGTTAAGAAGCATCCTTGATTTGTTTTGGATAACTGAGCATAGTACAAATTAAACAGAGATTACTACTTTAGAAATGCATAATTCAAGTAAACTCCATCAATAATTAGATTAGGTGAAATCAATATTTTAGATGCCAAAACAGGCAGAAAATGGCTCAATAAAGACAATTTAGAAATACTAATAAAAGTAACCATGGTTAAATGAGATATTGACTACTGGCAGGGAACAATAACAAAGAAACATAATTATCCACCTCAAACTAATCCTGAAAAGGTTCCAGAGACATGAGACACAGACCTTATGGGCCAATGAATGGCACGGAACAAAATGCACACCTTCATCTATTCCTTACGACGACTGAGGCATATGAATGTTTGAGATCCCAAGTGCTTTAGAGACCACCTCACCATCATGCAATCCTTGGGAAAATCATTTGGCCTGACATCCTTCTCTATATATTCTACAAAGAATATCTAACTTTTCTTTTCTTTTCTTTTCTTTTCTTTTCTTTTCTTTTTTCTTTCGTTTTTTTTTTTTTCTTTTTTTTTTTTTTGTGCGCACGCATGTGCAGACATACATGCACTGAGCTCAACAGTAAGGCTTATCAGGGATTTACATGGATTAGGCATGGTCGTAGTTAAGCCTGATCTCAATCTGACTTCAGTGGTTGTATGGTTGGCCTAATGATGTCTCCTTAAAATGATTTGCTTTGGCTGAGAAAGTGTCTTTATCAACAACTTGAATGCTTTCATGTCAAAGTTTCTTTTGAAGCACTACTATTATCAATAAGTTCATGCTCAAAAATCTTAGACGAACCAAATAAAAATTTCGAAAATTCTGAAATCTGAGATAAGAACATGTTTTCATTTAATAAATGGTAATGTTAAAATTAAATTTTCTGCATGGTATTACTTTCATATGGTTCTTTATGAGCTAAACTACAAATTCATGTGAAAAGGTTTCACTGCCTCGTTTGGAAACATGTTATTTTAGTAACTTTTTGACTTTTTACGAAAAGATATACAAAAAAATAGAGATAGTGATGTGACAACTTATAGTAACTTTTTGACTTTTTACCTAAAATATTTAGTCCCCAAACGAGGCCGTCATGTTTTCTCCTATAAACTCCATGCAGTAACAACCATTGAGTTTAATCATGTGGTTGGTACTGATAATTAATGACGTAATAATACCTTGAAGAAATTCTATGAGCAAAGTACTAGAACATGATGCAAAAAGTTGAACAAAGCTTGATTAGAAAAGATTAGGAGATAACCAAATTAATGTTCTTCCTATTCATCAAAGCATGCATCTGACAATATGATTGTAACCACCAAATTGATGTTCTTCCTATTCATGAAAGCATGCATCTGATAATATGCTTGTAACCACCAAGCTATTGTTAATTTTTGGGCGAATTACGCTAATGGTCCCCTGTTGTTTGGGGTTTTTGTCACTTTGCTCTCTGACCTTTCAATTGTGACACATTTGACCCTGAATTTTAAATTTCATTCTAAATAAGGACAATTAAAGACATTTTTGCTCCATTTCAATGGCAAAGTTGTCAATTTGATAAAATATAAATAAGTTTTATAAAAATAAATGTCAAAAAAATATTTTTAAATTTTTAAAAATTATATCCACTCACCAAAGATAAAGTTACACAAAAATGATAAATTTTTTATATTTTTATTTTGTTACTAAATTAATTTTTAGTATGTGTTTGGATGATGATCAGTAATGAGTGGTTGTTTTTGTTGATATTTTTAGATAGTTATCATGTAGTAGATGGTTGTATTTGTTGTTAACAAATATTTTTAGATGGTTATTAGGCTAATATGTTTAATATATGAAAAGTTTTTAGTTTTAGATTTTTTGATTTAATGGATTGGTTTAATAATGACATCAAAGTTGTTGCCATGTTTGACTTTTGAAAAAAATAAAAACTAATTTAACGAAAATAAATATCAAAAAAATTATTTCTACCCTCCCAAAAGATAAAATTATATAAAAATAATGTGTTTTTTATTTTTTTCACTAATTTAATTTTTAGTTTCTTAGGAAAAAAAAAATTGAAAATAGATTCTGAAAGTCAAACCAAACCAAACTTTATAACTAAAAAAGTTTCAACATTATTCATTAAAAAAAAAGTCATTATATTTCAAACAGCATATAAGTTAACCAACACAAAATAAGTTGTATAACGACTTTGCCCTTCAAATAGAGCAACGATATCTTCAATTGTCCCTATTTGGAACAAGATCTACAATTCAGAGTAAAATATATCACAATTGAAAAGTCAGGGACCAAAGTAACACAAACCCCAAACTATAAGGACTGTTAGTGTAATTCGCTCTTAATTTTTTACTTAGACAACCAATGTGAGCATGACAATCGGGGGTGGATGCAATGTAAGCCCATGAGGGGCACATGCCCCTCTACATTTTCAAAAATTATTCTTGAGCCCATGGTTTTCAAAATGTTGTTCACTTTGCCTTTTTGAAATTATATATATACATACATATATATTTGTTTATATCCTAGCTCTTTTACCATTTTCAAATTTTTTTTTTTTTTTTTTAATTGGTACTAGGGTGTCCAGATCAAAACCTGACTAATCCCCAAGGGTGCACAGCCCCTCAGCAAGGAGTTTTCCACAAGTGCACCACTGCTAATTCAAGAGTTTTTTCCCAGTCCGATGGCCCAAAGGAATTGTCTGCCTCTGCTCTCACCTCTCTTCATTCAGGTTTATTTGGGTCTTCTTCAGATATCTCCTCTTCTGTCTGGCTTTTTTACTCTGGTGCCTCTCATCATATGAGTTCTCACATTTCCTTATTTCAAATACGTATCCCCCCTCTCTCTTCTATTACTGTTAATACTGTTAATGGGTCTGGAATGTCTGTTCTATCTGTTAGGTCTGTCTTACCCTCTGCCATATCTGTTATTACTATTCCCTATGTTCTTTATGTTCCACAGCTATCTGTCAATTTATTATCTATCAGTCAACTTGATACTTCTGGTTTTGATGTTATCTTTTCCTGTCCCTATTTGGAACAAGATCTACAATTCAGAGTAAAATATATCACAATTGAAAAGTCAGGGACCAAAGTAACACAAACCCCAAACTATAAGGACTGTTAGTGTAATTCGCTCTTAATTTTTTACTTAGACAACCAATGTGAGCATGACAATCGGGGGTGGATGCAATGTAAGCCCATGAGGGGCACATGCCCCTCTACATTTTCAAAAATTATTCTTGAGCCCATGGTTTTCAAAATGTTGTTCACTTTGCCTTTTTGAAATTATATATATACATACATATATATTTGTTTATATCCTAGCTCTTTTACCATTTTCAAATTTTTTTTTTTTTTTTTTAATTGGTACTAGGGTGTCCAGATCAAAACCTGACTAATCCCCAAGGGTGCAGAGCCCCTCGGCAAGGAGTTTTCCACAAGTGCACCACTGTTAATTCAAGAGTTTTTTCCCAGTCCGATGGCCCTAAGGAATTGTCTGCCTCTGCTCTCACCTCTCTTCATTCAGGTTTATTTGAGTCTTCTTCAGATATCTCCTTTTCTGTCTGGCTTTTTTACTCTGGTGCCTCTCATCATATGACTTCTCACATTTCCTTATTTCAAATATGTATCCCCCCTCTCTCTTCTATTACTGTTAATACTGCTAATGGGTCTGGAATGTCTGTTCTATCTGTTAGGTCTGTCTTACCCTCTGCCATATCTGTTATTACTATTCCCTATGTTCTTTATGTTCCTCAGTTATCTGTCAATTTATTATCTATCAGTCAACTTGATACTTCTGGTTTTGATGTTATCTTTTCCTCTTCTGTCTGTTGTGTGCAGGATCGGGTGTCCAAAAAGCAGATTGTGACCGACCGTAGAGTTACAGATCTCTATGTGGTAGAAAGCTTGCATCTCCCTCTATCCACCTCTCCAGTTGTTTTTTCTTCATTTCAGTTAGATTCTCAGTCAAGTCAGTTTTTCTTATGGCATTCTCACCTAGGTCATTTGTCTGTTGACCGCTTACGGTTTTTAACTCAGTCAGGATTATTAGGTAAAGTTTTTCCTAGTCAAGTTGATGAATGTTGGGGGTGTAAACTTACCAAAATGTCAGCTTTACCTTTTAATAAAAGTACTTCAGTTTCTGTTTCTTCATTTTCTCGTGCATACTGATGTCTGGGAACCTTCTCCTGTTTTCACTTAAAGGGGTTCCGCATACTATGTGTCTTTTGTTGATGATTACACCCGTTATACTTGGGTTTATCTTAAGACTCATAAATCCAACTTCTACCAAATATATTGTACATTTCAGTCTATGATCACTATACAGTTTGGGGCTACCATTAAATTGTTACGATCTGACTTGGGTGGGAAATATTTTAAAACTGAATTCTGTGAGTACTTGGCCAATTTGGGTACCGTTCACCAAACTTCTTGTACTGATGCACCTACCCAAAATGATCGAGCCAAGCGTAAACACGTCATCTCCTTGAGACAGTTATGTCTCTTCTCTCTGCCTCAATTCTAGCTTTGTTTTGGGGCGAGGCAGTTCTTACTGCTGCTTTTCTTCTTAACCGCATATCTACTCCCCTTCTTCTAGTCGGTCTCCTTACAAGGCTCTATTCTCTCAACTTTCCAATTACTCCCTCCTTCGTATGTTTGGGTCTATTCGTTTTGTCCTTCTTACCAGTGAAGATCGGACCAAACTTAGTGTCCGATCTGTCCTATGTGTCTTTTTGGGTTATAGCCTTACTCAAAAAGGCTATCGGTGTTACGACTCTATTTCCCGTCATCTTTACATCTCCTGTCATATTTATTTTCTCGAATGTCTATCCTACTTTCAGCTTCCTCCTACCACTACTCCAGTTTCCAAAGAGAATTTGGTTCACATTGATCCATTTCCTTCTAAGGTCCCTCCTAGTGAGTACATCTCTATCCCATGACCTTACTCCCTTTTCTTCTCCGTCTTCCCAGCCTGCTCCTACTCCTGCTCCTCCTCCTCCATTGTTAGTGTTAAAACTCTTGTATTATTGATTGTTTCTCAAATGTCTGCCCTACTTTCAGCTTCCTCCTACCACTACTCCAGTTTTCAAAGAGAATTTGGTTCACATTGATCCATTTCCTTCTAAGGTCCCTCCTAGTGAGTACATCTCTATCCCATGACCTTACTCCCTTTTCTTCTCCGTCTTCCTAGCCTGCTCCTGCTCCTCCTCCTCCTCCTCCTCCATTGTTAGTTTATTTGAGTCGCCAGTCTCTCCCTCCACTAGTTGTCTATGCTCCTACTGTTGATCCTCCTGCTTCTGACGACTCTGATCTTACTGCACACTGCTATCCTACTCGAGCGCGTCATCCTCCAAACAGGTTGGGTTGGTCAAATATATATTTTTCTGCTACCTATCGTACATTTTTGTTTGCTATTCATTCTTTTTCAAAACCTCAACCTTATAAGAAGACCTGTCAAGCTCTCCATTGGATTCAAGCTATGGAGGATGAGTTGTCTGCTTTACAGAAAACTAGTACTTGAGAGTTAGTTCTTTTGCCTGCTGATAAGAATCTAGTTGGTTACAAATGGGTCTACAAAGTCAAGACTCATTCTGATGGTTTTCTTAAGCGCTACAAAGCTCGTCTGATTGCCAAAGGTTTCTCACAGGAGTATAGTATTGATTATGAGGAGACCTTTGCTCTTGTTACTAAGATGACTATTGTCTGTACTTTGATTTTTGTCGTTGTTGTTCGTTCTTAACCTCTTTATCAAATGGATGTTAAAAATGTTTTTCTTAATGGCTATCTTATCGAGGAGGTTTACATGCGTCCTCCCCCTGGCCTTCACCATTCCTATGAACAAGTTTGTCGCCTTCGGTGTGCTCTGTATGTGGTCTGAAGTAGTCTCCTCATGCTTGATATGATCGCTTTCAGACTGTTGTTACTACGCTTGGGTTTCATCCTTGTGTTCAAGACTCTGCTTTATTTCTTCTCCACACCTCTACTAGATTTGTTACCTTATTACTGTATGTGGATGATATGATCATCACTAGCTTTGACTCTTCTGCTATCTCTGAGATCAAGCAACATCTTTTCCGTACTTTTGAAATGAAGAAGCTGGACCCCTTGCGGTATTTTCTTAGTATTGAGGTAGCTTCTTCTCCCAAGGGACTACTTTTTCTCTCAGGCCAAGTATGCCAATGAGATTATTCATCGTGCCAGTCTTACTGACACTAAAATTTTTAATACCCCCATTGAGCTTAATATGAAGCCCACCCCTATTGATGGTGTTTCTAGATGATCCTACTTTATATCAAGAGCTCTTGGATTGCTCAATCTATCTGATGGTTACTGGCCCTGATTTTGCCTATGTTGTTCATGTGGTTAGTCAGTTCGCTTCTGCTCCTCGTTCTACACATTAGGCTGCTTTGGTGCGGGTTCTTCGTTATCTCCAAGGTATTATATTTCAAGGTTTACTGTTGTCTTCTACTTCCTCTTTGGACTTGGTAGCTTATGCTGATTCTGATTGGGCTGGTGATGTCATTAATCGCAAGTCCACTTCTGGCTGCATATTTCCTGGTGATTCCTTGATTTCTTAGAAGAGCAAGAAACAGATCGTTATTGCGCGTTCCACTACTGAGGCTGAGTACCGTGCTATGACTTATGCCACTACTAAGATTGTTTGTCTTCGTGGTCTCTTCACTGATTTAGATGTTCCTTAGTCTTCTCCGACCTCCCTTTACTATGACAACCGCAGTACCATTCAGATTGCACATAACAATGCCTTTCATGAGCGGACGAAGTACATTGAAATTGATTGTCATTTTGTACATCAACTCCATCTTGTTGATTTCTTTCGTCTCTTCGGCATTGCAACTTGTTGATTTCTTTACGAAAACTCACACAACTGCTCGCTTTCAGTTTCTTCTTGGCAAACTCTCAGTGTTTTCTGCTAAAACACCTTGACTTGGAGCGAAAGTGTGAGAATATTATGTAATTATGGAAGTATAGCAATTATGTTGACTGTGAATATTCGATTGATTGTATAGGGTTATTTCTTATTATAGATTAGGTTTAGAATTGCTATAAATATTGGTTGTAATTTTTGTATTGCGTACAAGTTGAATACACAAAAAACATTCAGAAATCTTACACATCCCAAGACCCAAGGCCTTATCACTAGGCCAACCCCTTAGGGTTCCATCTCTTTTATCATTTTCAACAAACAACCCTATAGTTTACCTATTAATTTCCAATTTGACTCCTCAAGCGTTTGACAAGAAAAATCTAAGAAATATCACCTTTTATTAAATGCTTTGTATTGCCATTTTATATGTTTTTCATACACTTATGGCAAAGTTCTCTAAACCTGAATTGTATTTTAACTTTTTGATTCATATAAGATATTATCCCCAATAAAATACACGGGAAATAAGACTCACACATAGGTGTAGATGGATTCAAACCACTGACCTCCTAGTGAGGTGAGCTCTGGCCAATCGAGCTACTCCCATTAGTTAAACATGTGTGTTAATATAATTTACTGTAGCAGTATATAATCTAATAGCTATTGGAATAATTTTGAAGTATAGATAATCTGTTTCTTTTTTCTTTTCTTTTACCAAACTAAATCTAAAAGTTTGTGTCCCAAACCAATACGTTCTAATATTTTTCCTTAGTATTGCCCCCTCTCAATCAAAATCCTGGGTCCACCACTGATGACAATAACAGGACTTGGGATGAAATACAGCATCAAGAAGCAATAGGTTGTCATAATTTATTACTTCTTATCAATGACTTCTCAGTGATATATTATCAAAAACAATGCATTCCAATAGAAGGGCCACATAAATAAGAACAAATAGAACTACAACAGCAAACCCATTAACAAGCAAACCAACTTTAAAAAATATGCTATGAAGGGTAGAAAGCTACCTTCTTTACTCACTAAGATTCTCTGCAGAACCATCTGTTTCATCATCATCCCCTTCCTGTATTTTAGCAATCGCCGCCTGTGCCCTCTCAAGAATCTGCTTCTTCTGTACCTCCAACTCTCTCTGAAAATCCATCCTCATCTTCTCCAACTCCATCATTTGCTCCCTCTTACTAGTCTCAATCTTCTCATAAATCTCCCCAAACTTCTGAACCGAATCAGCCAACAACCTAAATGATGATCCATCATGATCTTCCCCTCCAAACCCTTTCCTTTTCGAAGGAAGCCCATCCGAATCTTCGTCATCATCAGACGACTCAGACTCATCCGGACTATCCCTCATCTCATCCAACCCATTTGACCGATTCAAATAAACTCTTGGATTCATAAACACAAACTCCCCTGAATCAACCCCACAAGGTAACCCAAACTGTTGCCTAGATGAATTCAACAACATATCCATTTTCCTAAAGAAATCCCATTTGCTAGCATATCCTCCCATTCCATCCATTTTCTCTTTCTCCTTCTCTTTCTTATACTTCTTCTTCAATGTATCCAATCGGCTTCTACACTGTGTATCGGTCCAATCCATCTTCAACCCCTCCGAAACCTTCTCAGCCACCTCTTGCCAATCCTCAGACCTCAAACTATTCCTCCCCAATTTCAAAAACCTATCTCCCCAAGCCTCTAGCAACACAAATGTCGCGTGTTCAGTCCAATCCACCGGTGAATTTCGAACACCTTGCGACGATTTTCGAGGAGCAAACTCGTAATTCGAAACCAAACTCTCCACTCTCCGCTTCTTTTGACACCTTTCGGACCCATCATACCCATTTTCCACATCCTCTTCGTCACCCTCATCAGCATCATTACGATCATCGAATTCGTTGTTCAAGGCTTCATCTTCTTCACCTAATTCATCATTTTCATACTCATCGTCCTCGCCGTTGTCATCGCCATAATTACTTTCGATTGGATAAGAGGGGTTTCGATTGGAATGCTTCAAGCGAGTTGAAGAGTCATAGGTCAAGCGATGATTTACGGAGTAGTGTTTTGGTGGATACCTAGCATCGTCTTCAATGTCATCCATATATATATATATATATGTAAAAGTTGAGAAGAAGAACAAAAAGCCCTAACCTTTATCGCTGGCTCAAAAACATGTAAATTTGGATTTTGATCAGCAAAGCAAAGCCCTAATTGTGATGGTTTATGGAATTGGAGATTGGACTGGGGAGGAATCAGATGAGATGAATCGATTTTGGGGATTTCTGAATCCTAGATTTAGGGTTTTAGGGATTGGGTATGAGAGCGGGGGAAGATGCGGATGGAGAAGATATGGTTTTAAAGGAGGGAGAGAGAGAGAGAGGGGGATGGGAGTGGTGATTGGCATGAGTAAAGCTAAACTGCGCATGGGTGCGTGATGTTAGCGCTTGACTAGTGTCTTGGAAAATAATGGATAAATTACGAAAAAAAAATAAAAAACCATTAAGGTTTAACGTATTTTGCAATTTGAACTTTAGGATTTTAATTTTAACAATTAAAATTTTGGAGTTTTTTCCGTGCCACAATCTAAGTCCTCATCCATCTTCGTTTCATAAAGTAACGAAGAAAGCTATTTTTGGCGTCAAAACCAACCCAAACGACGCCGTTTTTTTATTAGTTCCATACAAAAGTCTCCAAATCTTTGATTTCATCAATTAGGGCTAAACTTTGCCCCAATTTCTTCGATTTCGTCGATTAGGACAAAGGAGCTATTGTGATTTTGAAGAAAATCTGAAGCAGCGTTTGAAGTACTGATGCATACTGTTATTTGGAGTATTGGTAAGTGATCAATACGATTTTTTTTGTTTCTTTGCTCTTATAATTTGTGTATGAAGTTTTTTTTTTCCTTTTTTCTTTTTTTGATTCTGTGAATAAAATAATAGCAAACTCTGTGTTTACTTTATTGCATGGGTATGTGTGTGTGTTCCTTACTTTATTGTCTTTTTTTAAATGAAATTTTTTTTCTCCATTGATGGACCATTACATTGACTGAATGGTTGGCTGACAATGTGGTTGGTCTCATGCTACCTATTCATTTCACTGATTTTTGATGCATTTTTGTCGTCAAGGTGGTTATTTTGCTATATGTTGTCTCATGTATTATTTATGATATATTTGTTTATTTGTGAATGCAACAATGGATTATATAAATATGAAATTGGTTTTACATCATAGTTGATACTTTATTGATAATGATGGTGGCCTAGGAGTTACTTTGGGGGTAAAGTAGATGTGTTTGATACTGTTCAGGTTGATACATTTTTTGTGCCTGAGTTGATATTTATGGTCAAGAAGTTGGGGGATATTTGATTACAAATAATTTTTTTATAGGATTCACACAAAAGATTTGGTTAGAGGGTTAAGAAGATTATGTATTAACCAAGATGTTTTAGAAATGTTTCAATATCTGGGCTCTATAAACATCTTAGAATTATTTGTTGAGCATCATGTGCCACACAATGTAGACACTCTTCACCTTGTTTTGTTCCTTACTGACGTCCTTGTAAATGAGGATGCAAATGCTCAACATCCTCAGCATCATGAGTATGAAGATGAAGCAAACAATGAAGATGACCAAAATGATGACTCATCAGATAGTGATTTCTTAGATAGTAGTGAGGATGACCCTACTGAGGATGATATAATGTTTGATAGTAATGTAGACAAGGAACCTAATGGGGAATGAGGCAATGCATTTGAGAAATGTGTTGTGAATGATAGAGATTCATCTAAAGAGAAATTATTAACTCTTGAAAGATCCAATGAGGAGGGCAATGAGAAGCCAAAGTACCCTGAATTTAGGCCTGAGGTTCATATGGCTAGTATTGAATTTAAAATTGGAATGTTGTTTAATAATGCCATTGAATTTAAAAATGTTGTGAGGGAATATGCAGTTAATATGGATGATATGAAATTCACAAAAAGTAAGACATGGAAGGTTCAAGCGAACTGTAGTGATAGGTGTGAGTGGAAGCTTTATTCATCCAAGATAACTAGAGAGAACACATTACAGATCAAGACATACAAACCTACACACACTTGCAACATAACTTACAAGAACAAACAAGTGACTAGTGCATTTTTGGCATCTAAGTATGTGAACAAATTCAAGACCACCCCTACCTAGAAAATAAATGAGTTCAAGGACATTGTAAAAGTTGATTGTGTTGTAGAAGTATCCAAAATGAATTGTTATTGAGTTAGGAAACAAGCAGTGGTGCAAATTGAGGGAACAAATAATGCTGAACAATATACAAAGCTGTGGGATTATGTTATTGAGTTGATAAGGACCAATCCAAGTACAAGAGTTAGCATCAATGTACAAAGGCCTCAAGTTGAAATTAAGCCTAGGTTCCAGAGAACCTTTGTGTGCCTTGATGGAATCAAGAGAGGTTTTGTATCTGGTGTGAGGCCATTGATTGGCTTGGATGCTTGTCATTTGAAAGGACCTTGTCAAGGGCAACTGTTTGCTATAGTGGGATGGGATGGAAACAACATGATGTTCCCAATTACTTATGCACTGGCTGAGAGTGAGAATAAAGAAAATTGGACTTGGTTTGTATGGAATTTGTTTGAATGTATTGGCACAAGTGTAGAGCAAGAATGGACCTTCATTAGTGATCAACAAAGGTATATTTATGTTTAATGATTTTTTCATTACTCTGTTATGTGCCTTAATGTTTTTCACTAGTCATGGTTTTGACATTTATATTTTATAGAGACTGGTTCCAACTCTTGAAGAATTATGTCTTGAAGGCAATTATAGGTTTTGTTTTAGACACCTCGATGCAAATTTTAAAAAGGAGTTTAGAGGAAAGGAGCTAAAGAGTTGTGTATGGAAAGCTGCAAATACATATACACGGATTGATTGGGAGAAGCATATAACTAAGTTGCATAGTGTAGATAGTAGAGCATATGATTAGATCATGAGAGTTAATCCAGGTCAGTGGTCTAGGCATGCATTCAATCCTAGAACAAAGTGTAATAGATTATTGAACAATATTTTAGAGTGTTTTAACAATTGGGTCTTACCAGCTAGAGATATATCCATCCTCACCATGTTAGAGTGGATCAGGAGGGCTTTGATGGTGAGGCTACATGAATGTAGAGACAAAATGATTAAGTACCAAAGGCCAATCTGTGAAGGCATACAAACTAAGATTGAGAGGTCAAAGCTAAAATCTATAGTATGGATACCTACTTAGTCAGGGGGTGCTCAATTTGAAGTTAGATATGGAGTAAATGGTTATGTTGTCAACTTAGAGAATAGGACATGCACTTGTTTCAAGTGGGATCTAACTGGAATCCCTTGTCCTCATGTTGTGACTGCTATTTTCTTTCAAAAAGAGAGAGTTGAGGATTATGTGCATGCAGCTTCCAAAAAGGAGACCTACTTGAGAACTTATGAGTCATTCATAAATCCAGTTAATGGGCAAGATCAGTGGCCTAAGACAAGTTGTGACCATACTTCCTCCTAAGCTAAAAAGACCAATTGGTAGGCCTCAAAAGAAAAGAATTAGGGACCCAGGTGAACCTTAGAACCCATTCAAGTTGCAGAGGAAGTGTACCAGCCTCAAATACTCCAAGTGTGGTGTATATGGTCATAATCAAAGAACATGCAAGGGGCTTGTCATGGGTAAAAAGGATGGAGCTGCAAGTTCATCAAAGAATGTAAGTAATCTATTGGTATGCTCTATTTGTAATATGTAATTGACTTCCATGTATGCTCCAAGTGTGGTTTAACAATTTTTTTGTAACAGGTGAGGAGTCGATAAACTTTCATGAATCATCAACTGGTGGACAACAGCAGCAGCCACCACAAAGAAGGGCAACATCAACTGGTAGACAACAGCAGTAGCCACCACAAAGAATGGCAACATCAACTGGTGGATAGTACCAGTAGCCACCACAAGGGAGACTTGAAACAAGATCAACTAATGGAGTGCATCAGCAAGTACAGAGGGCATCAACAAAAAGGACAACAACACCAGGAACAACTATGAAAAGGGATGAAGTTGAACAAGTCATAAGTAGTTAGGCTAGTGTTAATAGAGACATGGTGAACTAAATGTTGTGATTGTGAATTGCTTTTTTTGTAATGGTCATGTCACCTGAACCATTTATGTTTTTTTATATCTACTTTATTTTATTTTTTATTTTTTCTTGTAATCGGATTAAAGGCAGATTATGTATTTGGAACAATTTACTTTTCAATTATTTTGACATATTGGATGGTTATTGTGCATGCTTGGTTTGTAATGGGATTGACAAGATGGATGGTTATTATACATGCTTGGTTTGTAATGGGATTGACAAGTTACTAGTTTCTTTTTTTTTTTAAATAATATTTTTATGCTTGGTTTGCGCTGTATAGTGGTTTGGACATTTTGTCAATCACATTCAGAGCATTGGCAAAACAAATGCATAAACTTCATTGCAAAATCTAAACAACCAAACAAACATTACCACAATCCAAAAATTAAAAACAAAACATGGAATTCTCATTTCATTCAAAAGTATACATTAAGTTCAAATTGGCAAGTGCATAGTTGCCATTACATTTCCTAAATGATAACTACTAACTAACTAACTGACTAATCTACATTCTCTAGCTGCTTACTATTAACATTCCAATTACAATCACTGCAACAATCAATCCAACTACAATCCATTTCTATCTACCACGATAAGTTTGAACAACCTCCTCCAATCTAGCAATCTCAGTTCCCATTTCCTCTAAGCTTGCAACCTTGTCCACAAGATGGATGGTTATTATACATGCTTGGTTTGTAATGGGATTGACAAGATGGATGGTTATTATACATGCTTGGTTTGTAATGGGATTGACAAGATGGATGGTTATTATACATGCTTGGTTTGTAATGGGATTGACAAGATGGATGGTTATTATACATGCTTGGTTTGTAATGGGATTGACAAGTTACTAGTTTTTTTTTTTTTTTTAAATAATATTTTTATGCTTGGTTTGTGCTGTATAGTGGTTTGGACATTTTGTCAATCACATTCAGAACATTGGTAAAACAAATGCATAAACTTCATTACAAAATTTAAACAACCAAACAAACATTACCACAATCCAAAAATTAAAAACAAAACATGGAATTCTCATTTCATTCAAAAGTATACATTAAGTTCAAATTGGCAAGTGCATAGTTGCCATTACATTTCCTAAACGATAACTACTAACTAACTAACTAACTAATCTACATTCTCTAGCTACTTACTATTAACATTCCAATTACAATCACTGCAACAATCAATCCAGCTACAATCCATTTCTATCTACCACGATAAGTTTG